ACATGGTTTGACAACGTCTTACACAGTCGGCTGCATGGTTTCTTAAACCTACGATTCGCCTAGCAGGGATCGATATTGTCCATTGAATGAGACATCCCAATGAAATATTGCCATTGTTTACATGCTAAACCAATCTCTGAGAAAACTCCACCGAAAAGTTCAAATATGAACTTTGACCCGGAAGTGGTATGTGCGGTGAACTTTATTTTATTTTCCAGCTCAAATTTGTGCCTGCGCACTGTTTTTCAAATTACTTGCACTTGGAAACCAGTTTTCTCCATATTTTCAAGGTAAATTATTAACAAATTGTTGTCACAATTTCTAAATATTGAATACTCACAATTCTTAGACTTCGCAGAAGAAGTTGTACATCGACCATATCCGCCAAAATGAGAAGTCTGGTAACAGCAGACAGCAAAGCTCTGGCAGCTCTTACCATGGTAGCGCGTTTAGCAGACGAACATGGGTCGTCGGCAAAATCACTTGATGCTACTCTCATATTTTCACCTGGAGAATGAAATGATAATAAATAACTTGTCTGTCTTATGACGTTGTATTGCTTCCCCATTACCCGGTAAGAGTTAGTCGCCCATTTTGTTTTGTTTTTCTTCTCTGTCTGATTTTAATTATTTTTCCATGCATTGCATACGCTTGCAAATATTCGATCTGTGAATAGTTTGCATCAAATTTTATCAAAATACAATACCTGTTTTTCTGACTTCATCAACGGCTGCCAACATTTCTCTTTGTACTCCAGGATTTTCATTGGCAATTTCTTCTCCTTTCTCAATGAATTTCTGTGTAGCTTTGTCAACTGCTGCAACCAGTACATGGGCTCGTTTAGACTTGCCTTTCTTTTTTCTTGAAGCACCTTTTGTATTGACCAAAGTAGTCACCTGTATTGGATTGTAATCAGAACTTTTAATAAGAAACAAATATAATGGATCAGGAACGTAACGGATGAATACAATTAATAAAAAATATTAAATATGTTGGACACTAAAAAAAAAAAACCTGAGATGAACTCTAACCAATAGACAAATACCCCTAGCATGTTATGTTATTCTTATTTGCAACAGCCATTTTATAAATTGTGGCCTTGGAAATTGATGTTTTCTCAACTCTGAAGTTCAGGCTCTAATGTAGAATATACATACAAGGTGTTGTTCCCCACAGATATCAAGATGTTATTTATAAATTATATTTTGTCCAACTTCATTGTGTGTGTATTACTTTTGTGTATTTCATATTTTACGAAAACTGTGGAATTTTTAAATGTAATGCATACAATACAGAATCAATATATTCGGTAAATAACCATAACTTGTGGGTGTAGAAAAATATCTGCCTGAAATTATATATTCCTGCTGACCAGAGGTGAACCTACACAGATAGACCCCCCCCTTTTCATGCATATGGTTGCTAAGCAACCAGAGAACAAGGAACTCATCTATTATTTCACATACTAACTAAATTACATTGATATTTATAGAAATTTGCTTTTAGGATTTCCCATGATCAGCGAGATTTTCAGCCTTTACATGTCACCACAGTCACAAACCATTATATTTCCACTTTATTTCCCTTTGCTATATGATACAGCATATGACATAAACCATTAAATGTGGCAAATTTAATCATTGAATTATGAAACTGATAATATTCTGGCTGCTTAATTTATGATATTAGGTAAGCTCTTGTGGTATTTTTGTTTCTGAACTAATATTCAACATACCGGTATGTATATACCACTCCAGTATGTACATACTTTTATTATTAGACAAGTTTGCCTAATAATATGTTACAGGAATGTGTGAAGTATGTGTATAACAATGTGACTATTATGTTGACTCGATTGTACATGTATAACACAGGAACAGAAATTCACAGAGGCTGCGCAGGCCACATATGCCTGGATTCCCCAACCTGTATGCCTTGATGTCTTTCAAAATATTTAGAATTTCTCTTGCAATATCATATAGTCTAAGGAATTCTCAGAAGTTCTGGCTCAAGGCTTTATGTGGGTTAATTCTCTCAGAATACTGAAGTTCAAACATGTTGTGTTCACATACATGTGTAAAATGCATAACTGTATCTGTAAATTGTATGAGTTTATGTGTTTTGATGAACCAGTAATGACAGTATTTCCTGAAACCAGGAATTCTCAAAGACGGACCAGAACAGGAAGTCAGTAAAAGACAACAGATTTTGTCATTAGTGTGGTGGAAAGTTGGTTAGCGTGGGGGAAATTCATTGTCTATTCTTGTTTGTGATTGGTCCTGGCAACATTTGGGGGATCATGACATAGCTTAGCTGCTCCATCTTTGAGAATATTGTAACTTGATTTTGAATGAGATTACTGTGATTACATGAACTATGTTTACTTTTTATTTGATCAAATCCAATCTCTTGAATAATTAATCACATGTAAACATTAAACAATACAGTTACTAAAATAGCATGGCATAGCGATCTGAACAATTATACATTTCTGTAATAATTAAGGTGAATAAATTTAGAAAAAATAATTTGTGTCTAAAACATTTACTAGTAGTTATTACTCTTGGTGCAACAAAGGCATTACTTCATCTTTGTAAAGATTTATAAATTTTGATGGCAGCTGTTGAATCAAACCAGCCAGTCAACGAGTCACAGTCCCTCATCACCTGAGGGACTGTGAACGAGGGTAGTACGCAACTTCATTTGAAAATGTTCCAGTGATATTCAATTGGCCAATAGAAACCCCTCGTTTTTGTTTAGTTAAATTTTTACATTATTATTATTTAAATCATAAAAGTGTACCTAAACAAATCTTAATTTTTTCTGTGCAATTCAAATAATTATGGGCCTTGTCAGTAATATCAGTTGCCTCAGGCCACAAACAAAAAACAGGTTTGCATTTTGTCATCATGGGCATCAATTTGAAACCACTGCCTCACAGATTTTTTTTTTACAATTTTTCATACTGGTAAAAAATGAGGTAATGTTTGTTTTCTATTTCAGAGGATGGTTCATTATTTGAAAGCATTATTCAATGAATGTTATTTGTTCAACCACAGTCACAGTTGAGGGACTGTGATTCAACTTATAAAACCGCATCATTTTTCAGAAATAAACAGGAAAAAATGGCGTCAGCAGGCATTGTGTTTTCATAGTAATTGGTAATCACCAAAAATCACTAGTTTTGTAGAATTTGGTCTACAATTTAGTGATTCTCAAACTATTTAACTCCTTCATATTTTTATAATTTTTAATTCATATTTATTTGATTAATCCATTTCTTACTGTATAATATTTTTTAATTGTTTGGGGCTTAGAAGTTTCCCAGATTCATTTTCCAGAATGAGCGCATCTGACTAGTTTTAATTCAATGTCATATTGAAATGTGCATGTCACTAATCATAACAAAGAGACTGAGAAACAATTCTCTTTAAGTTGAAAAAATATAGTAGTGGATAACTGAGTTTGAAAATTATTGTCAATTTAAGTTAAAGACTAATAACAAATTCAGAATTTATAAAGGAACATGTATGTTTTAATGTCTAGCTGCATAATGTAACCTCAACCTACTTCAAAGTTTGACATGAATACATACATATCTGTGATAAGCCAATAATATTTGCCTAAGATAAAGAGATCAATTGAAAACACCAGCAATTGGTGTGCATATCATTTCAAGGGCTGCATATCCTGTCCAGACATTTAAAGAGAAATAACTTCCCAAATTGCATTAATAAATAAAGATGGTAATTTTGAGCCAGTGCACGTTTTTCTCTGTGCAATGATTTACCGGTATAATACTGGGATTAATTAAAAATAATGTGTTGAGGGAGGGGGTGGCAATTAACATGTGTTTAATGATCCTGTGTACAGTGTTCATAACAAAATCTAGTAAACTTGTGAACAAGTAAACTGAATTTGACAGTAAAATTGTCAATTTGACTGACTTGGTTATGGAAAACAAATATGTTACATGGCAACCAGTAATCATAAATTGTAAACCAGAGTACCGGTACGGTAGGTATCTTAGCCAGGCATTTCATGTTTTTGCTGTGTGGTCTTTTGAGAGTTTACTGAGACCTGTTATGTATAGACCATAAGTGCATTTATTTATTTAGAAATGATTATAATCATATATTCCATTAGTTGTATATCAACAGTTTGCCATCTTGAAAGCCATTACATCACGTCTTGAAAAATATCATAAAATATTTATTTCTAATTTAAAACACCACTGGCTTATGTTACATTTTCCACTGTTGACCTGTGACCCAATTTATATGTACAAGACACTCCAAACAATAAAAACATGCTAATGACAGTGTTTACTCGTGTGATTTATGTTACAGAGTTGAAGGTGTTGCTACTCACAAACAAACCATAGCTACATATTTTTGAGGTTATGTAATTTGTAATAAAATATGCTTTTTATATGAACCCTGAAGGTCAGAGAGAATGAAATTTTTCAAGAAATGACACCACTAAATTTTCCCTGATGTCTATAAACAGTTTAACATGGCAAAAATTGAGGTATAATAATATTGGAAATTATTGTTGGTATACTGGTACACCTCTACCCTCTAGAAAGTGCCAGGATGTGTGACCTTTAGGGGTCATACTCACAGCACAGTCTTA